TCAATAAATACTGTAATAATAGAGCAATAATGTAGAGCATTAATTATTTAATAATCATGGCAATAATAAATATAATAATATTATTAATCAGAGGCATACTCTGAGGGGGTGCATGGGACTTGTCCCCCCACTAGGAAAGACACATGATGATAATAAAAAGCAGGTGACTTTTAGTTGGTGTTATTATTGATTACTGTTATTCAATTCTCTACTGCATGGAGGTGGAGGTGGGAGGGTAGACTCTGATAACAATGGTTATTTTAAATTGCTCTGTTGGCTACACAGACATTCAAATGACTAGTATGTTAATAAGGAATTCATTTGTTGATAATGGGTGATGGTTCAAGTTTCTCTCTCCAGGACTGGGCTTTGAATGCTGGGGAAGGTGGCCCCAGGGCACTGTGGGGACAGAGGGTGCAGCTCTTGGGCTGTGCCTGTCACTCTGCTCAGAGCTGAGCAGCCCCTCCGAGGATATCCACCACACACCAGCACCTGGACTCCTCCTCCCTCATCCAGAGATCCAGTCCCACATATGGTGGCTTCCTTCCCCTTTGCCTAATGGAAAGTTCTCTATTTTTTTTTTTCTTTTGAGTAGGAAAATGCCCAGATCATCAAAGAAGTGGAAGTGGACAAAGTGTCAGCATTATCCAGGACCCATGTAGAGGCCATCAAACAGCTCTGGAAGGACCCTGGAATCCAGGAGTGCTATGACCGCAGGAGGGAGTACCAGCTGTCCGATTCCACCAAATAGTGAGTACAGAGGCACGGGCCGGGCTGCTGTCTGGAGGGCACCCATGGCCGGCCTTCAAAGGAGCTTCACGCTGGGGCTGGGAAGCTGCTTGTTAAAAGGAGGCTGCTCACTGACAATACTTTGAACAGTGGCACCATCTCCTTGATTTTCTATGTCCGCCTCTTTCCTGGTGCCCCATCTGGTTGTTGTTGGGTGCTGTTGGACTGGCTTCCAGCTAACTCATGGAAACAGAACGACAAGCTGCCTGGCCTGTGCCATCCCATGATCGGTGGTCGATCAGACAATGCGCTATTGTAATTCACAGGGTTTATATTGGATAACTTTCAGAAGAAGATTGTCAGGCCTTTCTTCCTAGTCTATGTAAGTGTGGAAACACCACTGAAATCTGTTCAGCATTAGAGCCACATGAAAACGTCCACTAACAGACGATGGTGGCTGCACAGAGGTGCACTGACTGGGAATCGAACCCAGATCTCCTGCATGGAAGAGGAGCACTCTGCATACCACCTTCTAAACGCCTTCTGTCAGCCCGTGGGTCCGCAGATCCCACCCCACGCCGCCATCCGCCTTTCCTCACCATGTTCTAAGACTCCCATTTCCAAGGAAAAGCCCAACCAAATTGAGTTACCCTTAGTGGGATTGATCTCAGTTGGATTTTTGAAATGATATGATTTAAACAGGGAGTGCATCTGCTCCTGGCTCCCAGCTCTCCTCTCCATCTCTCTGCCTCTCTAGCTTCTTGGTCAGAAGACAGTAAGTCCAGTTGTCCTAAAAATCAGTCTAGACCCTCAGGAGGTAGTAGACCTCCCGGCTGCTGATCTGGTGCTGCCCTCTAGTGGAAATGATAGGTATCTCACGCCCAGCACATAAAGTGCTTGCTTTGTTCATTATTTATTTATTTTTAGTGCTAAGGCCCTTGTTTGCTGCCTGTGCAGTCACCCCTGACTCATGGGCCCCATACAATGGAACGAAACGCAGCCTGGTGCTGCGCCTTCCCTATGATTGGTTGTCGCAGGTCGCACTGTTGTGATCCATAGGGTCACATTGACTGATTTTTGGAAATAGATGCCCAGACTTTTCTAATCCATCTTAGTCTGGAAGCTCTGCTGCAACCTTTTCACCATCAAAGCAACATGCAGACCTCCAGTGACTGACGGCTGGTGGCCGTGCAGGAGATGCATTGCCTGGGAATCAAACCCGGATCGCCCCCGTGGAAAGCGAGAATTCTGCCCCTGAACCACCGACGCCCTGCTGCTAAGGCCTACACACTACATTTTGGATACAGGAAGCTCTAGTTTTGTTTTCAATCGTTAATTCCTTAAGATAAAAAGAAATAGACTCTCCTGCATGCAAACTACCCCATAGAGATCACAGAATTTCATTTTCTTAAGAATTTCCTGAAGCAGTGCCTCTGTCAGCCAGGTTACTAGGCAAACAGTTTGATCACAAGCCTGCCTTGAAGGGTCAGTGATTCTGACTTAGACAGCTCAGCTGTGTCTCCCTCGCCCCATAGCACCGTCCATCCTCTGGGGGCTCTGAAATCCCTTCCCAGCCCCATCCCTTCTCTCAAGCCAGCCCCGTGAGCTCGCTTCAGGCAGGGGCTTCACCTCAGCGTCTGCACAAGGCGGTGGACAAAAGAGGAAACTGGAAATATTACCTCCCGCTGTTTGACTGGCCTTCCCTTGGCACTTGTCCCAGGCTGAAATGTTTGACGCCATTAGTCTTGATTGGCCGAGCCAATCTGACTAGTGGAGCACTTAGATGCACGAGCACATCAAGGCAGGACAAGGAGAGAAAAGAAGGTTCTGATAAAGTGCTGGGTCAGCACAGAAAAGAGATGGAGGGAAGTGTCCCAAGGCAGCTTTGAAAGCCTGGTGAGGCCAGGACATCTCAGAGTTGGCTGAGGCATCTGCTCCTTTGCTGGCCCTTCCCTGAGGCAGCCTGGTGCGATTTGCTGGGGATTGATGTAGATCTACTTGGAAAATACCCACCAGAACTGATGTAGGATTCAATGCCTTAAAAATTGGGCATGAACCTTGAGAGGGATATAAGGAGTGGCTAGGGTGGTGGACAGAGGTGGGACAGAAAAAGTAACATAATTGGACAATTGTCCAGCCTTCTGAACTGGTGAGACATTAGGCACTCGTTCCTGACCTTCTGGTTAGCAGTCAAATGCCTTAGGCACTATGCCGCCAGCGCTCCTTTTCCTCAGTGTAGATCAGGGGTTCTCAACTGCAGGTGATTTTGCAACCCCTCCCCCTTACCCGGGGCATTTGTCAGTGTCTGGAGACCCCCCCTTACCCGGGGCATTTGTCAGTGTCTGGAGACCCCCCCTTACCCGGGGCATTTGTCAGTGTCTGGAGACCCCCCCTTACCCGGGGCATTTGTCAGTGTCTGGAGACCCCCCCTTACCCGGGGCATTTGTCAGTGTCTGGAGACCTTGTCATCACAATGGATAGGTGATACTGACATCTAGTGGACAGAGGCCAGAGATGCTGCTGAACATCTACAAAGCACAGGGCAGCCCCAACAGGGAATTATCTGTCCACAAGTGCCACTCTGCTGAGGTGAGAAGCCCTGGTCTGTGTAATTCAGAGTGCTGGGAGACAGCCCACAAGGCTTAGAGTGGACAGACTTGGAACTCATTGACTGGAATCTGAAGGCATCCTTAACAGTCAGGGATTCACATACAAGTTTTAAGCAGCCTTGATTCCACTTCAACCCTGTGGCTCCCAATTTCCAATCCCAATGAGTTCTCTCTTTACATTGAGGCAAGCAAGGAAGAGATGGGCAAAGTAGAGTCAGAAAACGGGAGATGGAAGCCAGAGCCTTCCTTATAGAAGGAAGAATGTTTTAAACTGATGTGAATCTGCTGGTAGAAAGGAAGGATGTAATGAGGAGGGATGATTTTCCTGGAACCATCTTTCTACTTCAGCAAAATTTAAAAAAACAAACAGTTGCGATCCAGTTGATGCTGAGTCATGGCGACTCCGTGCACATCAGAGTAGAGCTGTGCTTCGGAGGGTTTCAGTAGCTGTTTTTTTGGGAAGTAGATCTCCAGGCCTTTCTTCCAAGGTGCCTCGAGTGGACCTGAACCTCCAACCTTCTGTTTAGCAGCTGAGCACATTAACCATTTGTACCATCCTGGGACTCCTTCTACCTCAGCAAACCAATAAAACCAAACTCCCTGCTGTTAAGTCGGATCCGACTCATAGCAACCTGTCCTTGGATTTCCAAGGCAGTAGGACCTCTGGTAGCGTAGTGCCTAAGGCACTTGACTGCTAACCAGAAGGCTGGAGGTTCAAACCCACCAGCCACCCCTCGGAAGGAAGGTTGGGCAATCTACTTCCGTAGTGATGTTGTTGTTTGCCATCGAGTTGGCCCCGACTCATAGCGACCCCTCCTTGGGTTTCTGAGGCAGTATCACTGCGGAAGTAGGATTGCCCAACCTAGTGATACTGCCTCGGAAACCCAAGGAGGAAGGTCGCTATGAGTCGGGTCCGACTCGACGGCACATTAACAACATCTCTACAGAAATAGATTGCCCAGTCTTCCTTCTGGGGAGGGGCTAGTGGGTTTGAACTGCCAGCCTTCTGGTTAGCATTCAAATGCCTTAGGCACTACGCCACCAGAGCTCCTCTTCCTACCACCACACCCACCATCAGGCCTTCTTAGACTGGCCTCCCAACCTCTCTGCTCCCATTGTTCTAGAATTCCAGCAGCAGCATGCCTCTTTCTTAAGGACAGCATTGTGCTCATCTTTCTTGAATTTAGGGAGAGAATTAAATACAAGCCTTACCCCATTTTCATGTGGCACAGCCAACTTTTCTAGGCTTACCTGCTGCCTTCCACCATCCTCTGTTGTACACAATGCTCCAGTAGAGCCAGCCTGCTTGCTCTCCCTCAATAACCCCCCACTTTTATTCCCATCTCCTGTTCTTTGTTTCTGCTGGGTCCCCAGCCCACAAAGCCCATCTCACAACTTGACCTCCAGAAATCTTACGCCTTCCTCAAGTCTCATTTCAAATGTGATGTTCTCTCAGTAGTTGTCCTTCCTCCGACTGCCCCGGAGCAATGCTGGGCTGCTCCCCTCTACATCCGGGCTCACATGTTAGTGATAGTCACACAGGGACCTGCTCTCATGGGACCCTGGAGTTTGGCACAAGCCCCAGGGGGGCTATGATAACTCCACCCTTCTTTTTTTCACTTATAAAAGGAAATCAGAAAACAAATGTGTGGGAGAAATACTAGAGAGAGAAGCTCAAACCCACTCTGATATTTTCAAAATTTGTGGCATAGTGCCTAAGGCTAACCAGAAGGCTGGCGGTTGAAACCCACCCACCACTCCTCAGAAGGAAGGTTGGGCAATCTACTTCCGTAGTGATACTGCCTCAGAAAACCAAGGAGGGGTCGCTATGAGTCAGATCTGACTCAGTAACAATTAGTACTATTACAAGTAACAAATCACTTTTTTTTTTTTGTTTTATTGGAGTAAAAATACATATAGCAAAACATTTGCCAGTTCAACATTTTTTTCACATGTACAGTTCAGTGGAATTAGTTACATTCATCACGTCCCAGTGTCTTTAACAGGAAAAGTCTTTTTGTGGTGGTTGTTATTTTAAAAGTTTCTCCTTTGCCTGTTTTATGCCTATCTATTATCTTGGAGCTCTGTTGGCACTGTGGGTAAGGCAGTGGACTGCTAACCAGAAGGTCGGTAGTTTGAACCTACCAGTTACTTCACAGGAGGAAGATGAGGCAATCCACTTCTGTAAAGATTTACAGACTCAGAAACCTGACAGAGGTCACTATTAGAAGGAATTGACTCAATGGCAGTGGGTTTGGTTTTTTTGTGTTTGTTTTGGTTTATTATTCTTGGAAGCTCTAGCTCATTGAGCAAAAGCATTACAGAACAGCATCCACATTATTATAATGTTTTTGGATGACAGCACATGGGAGGGAGAAGGGTTGGAAGGAGAGGGACAAATGGGAAGTCAGAGGGAGCCATCGCCAACATCCTATTCCTCCCAGCCCCTCCTTCTTCCTGCCAGCCATATAGATTGTGATTGGGCCCAGTTTAGCACATGGAGGAAGACGTGGAAAGATCTGTAGATTTCCCAGAAGCCTCATGACAGTGCTTCTCATTCATATTGTCTTCAGAGCAGTCACAGGAGGAGTGGAGGGGCCTGGCCAGGAGCTGGCTCTCAAGCAGGATCCAGTGATGGGCTCAGTGAACCTGTGACTCACTGGGAGCCTGGGCTGACTTCCCTTTTATAAGACAGACATCTCTCCCTTCTCTCTCTCTGCATCCCAGTTACCTGACGGACATTGACCGAATCGCCATGCCTTCCTTTGTGCCAACACAGCAAGATGTGCTTCGGGTCCGAGTGCCCACAACTGGCATCATTGAATATCCTTTTGACTTGGAAAACATCATCTTTCGGTAAGACGGTCTCCCAGAACAACCCATTAAGAATTTTTCTACCAGGCTTGGACGTTCCCAAATGGGGATTTTTTTTTTTCCCCTTACAATTGCTTTTTTTAAAAAATGTGTTGTGGTAAAATGTAAGTAACAAAATATTTACCATTTTAACCGTTTTTAAGTGACCGTGTTGTGCAACCATCAGCAACACCCCTTTCCCAAATGGATATTTAAATAACTTGTGTTTGTTCCTAAATAGGGGCTATGTGTTTAAGGGGAGGATGACTCTCTCTGTCTTAGGCTGTTTAGGATCGTAGTGCATCTCAAGTCCTAGAATGTAGGGGAACTCACTTTTCTATTCCTATTAGAGAACAAGAGTGTCCTTACGTATGTCTGCAATAATTTTTATGTGCAAAACACATAGACACACACATACACACACATACTTCTGTAACCTATAACTGATTTGACTACTGATGTCTTTTCTCTAAAAAAGGAATACCATTTATCTTCCCTCTACTTCTTTCCCCAAGATTTGTCTTTAAAAAAAAATAAAACTAAAAATTGATGCAAAATACACACACTCATATGCACATTACTTAGAGCTATGTGAAAATGTATGAATATAAAAAGCACCTTTAGGATAACCTCAGTTAATTGTCAAACCAAAAAAACCAAACTCACTGCTGTCAAATCAGTTCCAACTCATTGTGACCCTTCCTTGGGTTTCTGAGGTGGTATCTCTATGAAAGTAGATTGCCCAATCTTTCCTCCAAGGAGTGGCTGGTGGGTTTGAACCACCAGCCTTCTGGTTAGCAGTCAGATGCCTTAGGCACTTAGCCACCAGAGTTCATTTAATTATAGCAAATAATAATAAGGATATTTTATATATATATATATATATATATATATTTGTTGTTGTTTTTGTTTGCCGTTGAGTCGGCCCTGACTCATAGCGACCCCTCCTTGGGTTTCAAGGCAGTATCACTACAGAAGTAGGATTGCCCAACCTTCCTTCTGAGGAGTGGCTGGTAGGTTTGAACCGCCAGCCTTCTGGTGAGCAGTCAAGTGACTTAGGCACTATGCTACCAGAGCTCCTCTCTCTCTCTCTTTCTCTCTCTCTCTCTATATATGTATAACATTGCAAACTTCAAAGTGCATTTTTATCCACTATTTCCCTTGTCCCTCCTACTAATGATTATTATACATACTTTTCCAGTTGAGACAACAAGAGTCCACTCCTCTCATATCTAGCTAGGCCCAGTCTGTACCCTCCACACATACACCTCAGTGCAAATGGAGAACTGTGCGGCTGGCGGAGCCTCTGGCGCAGCCTGTGGGTTTTCAGCCTCGGTTTTCAGCCTTGGTGTGAGCACTGCCTGATTCTGAGGGCAGCCCCCTGCCTGTGCGCCCATGAGTTTATCTAAAGCTTTCAGAGTCAATTAGTGTGTGCAACTTCCAAAACCTCTCACAAGGTGTCCCAAGGTTAAAAACAAAAGAGAAGTTTTTACATTTTTTTCTTGTCTTTCTTGAGCTTTGATGAGTGAGCTTCATGTTACTTTCCAGTGTCTGGTTCACAAGTTCAACGTCCTCCAGCAACGACACATACCATGTTATAGCACAAAGCACCTCTCCCAGGGGATCTTTCCAGCTGAGGAATGTTGATCTTTGAAACTGAGTCCCTTGGAATGGCTTCTTCAAGCCCAACCTCTTGACCATTCCGTTTTCCTTTTCCAGCTCCCTCCCTCTTGCTCCCTGTGAAGCAGGACTGGGCACTTGTGCCATTGCAGGTTTGGCTGTCCCTACATGATAAGCTTCAAGGGCGGGAGCTTTGCTTTTCTTCCCAGCACCTTTCTGACGGCAGTTCTGGGGGTGGGCTGTGGGCCTCATCCTAACCACTAGTCTAGGGTCTTCAGGAATGCGTCTGTCACAGAGGGCATGCCTTGGCAGTGTGTGGGCTGTTATCTGGCCCGTTGCTGTGTTCTTTTGGCCAATTCAATGTTGTAAAATTTTTTGAGCCAACATTTAACATTTGGGGTGCTTCACTTAAAGCATTTGATTTCTGGTTTCTTTGGAAAAGTTGGAAGATCTGGTACTATGAGCCTGGTTTTTAGTAGTACCCCTCCCTTCTGAAGGGGTCTCTAGCCCTCATGTAGTTCATGCTTCTCTACGTAGGAAAGGCCACCTTGACCCATTCATGCAAATGGTTTGATCCCTGAGGCATTTGGGCTTGGGATCTCTGGGATATGGGTCTCTGAAAGTCCTTCCAAAAAACCACTTGCCATGGAGTCCATCCCAACTCATGGTGATGCTGTGTGTTGGAGTTTGAACTGTAGGCTTCTCAATGGCTGATTTTTTGGAAGAACATTGCCAGTCCTTTCTACTCAGACGCCCCTGGGTAGACGTGAACCGCCAGTCTTTCAGTCAGCATCCAAGCATGTTCACCATTTGCACCACCCAGGGGCTCCAATCTTTCCAAAGACACAGGGGAAGGCTTTGGATTTTCCTGATGAATGGAAGGTACTATAGTCTCTATAGGAAAAGAGGTGCCAGTAGCTAAGGCAGAAGGAATTTGAGGATAAGTTAGAGTATCCATGGAAACAAGAGGGGACCCAGGGTTAGAAGGAAGCTTGGCTGACCTGGAAGACTACTTGCCTTTCTGCTTCTCGTGCCCAGTGTTCTGGACTCCATGGTGATCGAAGCAAAACCTACGTGGATGGTGTGCTTTCTGCTGGGCTACTGCAGCGCCTTCCTACCCAGTCTCCCCAGGCAGGCCCCCCTGAGTTGGTGCCACATCTGCCTTCCAACCTTCATTTCTATTTTGTGACTCCCTTGTTGGAAGCATCCAGGGATTCCTCATTGCTTAAAGCAGTGGTGCTCAAATGTTTTCATCTCACAACCCTTTTTCACTCTGAAAAACGATTGAGGATGTCCAAGAGCACCAGGTTCCACGGTACAATGATCCACCACCTTTCCTCCCCAGAGTCATGCATTCCAATCTGAGTGATCTTCTGTGTTACTATTAAACAGGATGGTGGATGTCGGTGGCCAGCGATCTGAAAGACGGAAATGGATTCACTGCTTTGAAAGTGTCACTTCCATTATTTTCTTAGTTGCTTTGAGTGAATATGACCAGGTCCTCGCTGAGTGTCACAATGAGGTATGCTCGCTGGGGCACAAAAGGAAAGCAATAAAGGGCTCTGTCCAGGATCAGGCAGTAACGACAAACAAATCGTACCTTGTACTTCTTGAGAGCAGGCTCTTCTCGGAGGAGCCCAGCTCCATTAGCCAATTAGTGGAGGATTAACCCATTTGCTTGTGTCACTGTGCACAGAACAGAAATCTCAGCTACAGTTCAGCCCTTCCAAGTGGGGATATCTTCAAAAGCAAAGACATCTAGTTATCAATATGAAAAATTAGCTCCCAATTTGTCTCAGGAATTACTTTGTGACATTTCTCAGGAAACTCAGAAGATTAGTCTGGTGCACAAGGGGCTGATACCTCAGTCTGATATGCTTAGAAATTAAACATTTTCTCCTCTCATAAAAATCACAAAGTATTTGGGGAAAAATTAAGTGGCTGGCATTTGAGATTTTTCTCTCCTGGCTGTATGTAAGTGTCAGATCCACTCAGCATGCTGTAGAGGAACTGTGTTTTCACATATTGTAATTCCTTGGAGAACATTTTGATAAGGACATAATAAATTTTAAAGAAGTTCTAAAAACAAGGCAGTTCCAGTGATAATCTGGTAATAAATCCTGGATCTTAGTTAAAAAATGTGTTGAGAGGCAGAAGGAGCCAGGGTGTCTCAGAGTGTAGGGAAATACACTTCTCTTCCCTTATCGACACCGTGAAGTTCTAACTACCAGGCCATTATGCAAAAGTCTGCCTTATGCAAAAATGGAGGATGACCATATCCAATCACAAAATGGAGGATGACTACATCATTACATGACTTCCAGATTACATCGTTACATAACTGTCAAACCACTAAGAGTCATGACCCAGCCAAGTTGACACATAACCTTAACTATCACAGCCTGCGTTACTTTTACCTTGCATTCGTTACTGCCCATATATGTACATTGTAACACACAAAATTGTCAGAGAGTAGATTTTTTCGTATTGTTGTAAATGCGTCATGGGTAACGAGATAGTCCGTGAGGAGTAGGTGTAAAGATTTATGACTGGTCCCTGTGGAGTGGGCATGCTGAGCCTTGAAATACTTAGAACAGTTATCACCAGATAAGATTGGTATATGTCCTGTATGCACTCCCCAACTTAGGAGCATTCAGTATTTTATTGTTCATGTCTAATGCTTAGAAATGATTACTGTCCTTCTACATAACCTTCATCAGGTCCCACTACCATAGAAGCTTGGGAAAGTTTAAAATTTTTTGAATAATAGTTTGCTCGTCCTTTGAAATGGGGACACTTTTCCCCTGGGAGAGCTTTTCCGTCTTACATGCGTGTAGAGTATGGCCCAGAGAAGGGTCTGTAGCCCTGGTTCCCTTCCTTGCCAGTGCCTGGCACTCACTGCTGGAGGTGCTTTCCTGCCTCTCATCACCACCTGACTCCTAACTTTCAGTCTGGAAGACCACACCCAATTAAAGTGGGGCTGTCAGATGTGAAGCTTCAAACCTCCTCACTTGGTAATTCCAATAATTACGTGACACAGAAAACTTTTGTCAAATATGGTTATAAACCTTCTTTATCCAAGTTGCACAAAAGTTTTGCTCCTTTCTTTACCTGTTGATTTCGGGCTAGAGGGAGAGGACACCTGTGTAGGAGACCCAGGAGGCAGTAGGCAGGCATGATTAATGAGAAGAGGGGTATGGGGAGGAAATAGAAGCAGGTGGCCTGGGGTCCATGGTGCCTTCATGCCCACCAGCATCAGCAAGGGCAGAGACACAGAGACTGCAGCTAGCTAGGTGAGAGAGGAGTGGATAGATGGAACCACCGATTTGGTATATTGCTTCCAAATTACTTCTTTTCTTCCTATTTTATTGAAAGTCCCTTGTTTTCTCCCTCAGAACCGCATGGAAGAGAGCAAAGCCTTATTTAAAACCATTATTACCTACCCGTGGTTTCTGAACTCCTCCGTGATTCTGTTCTTAAATAAAAAAGATCTTCTGGAAGAGAAAATCATGTACTCTCATCTCATTAGCTATTTCCCAGAATACAAAGGTAAGCAGGTACCCATCTTCTTGACAGTATTTCTGTGCCCGTCTTGTTGATCTCCCTGCATCAATGCAAAGTTCTTAACACAGGCCCTAAAGGCCTCAGTGACGTGCCTCTAACAGTCTCTCACTGTTCCCCACCTTTGAATCAAAGCTCCAGCTGCTCCCCACCACGTATGTGTGCCCCTCAGCACCACCACGCATGCCTCTTCCAATGTTTGAAATATTCTTGCCAGCTCTCTTGGCTAACTCCACTTTTATTCTCCAAGAGCCAGCATGGGCATCTTCTTTGGGATGCCTTCCTGACCTTCTGTTTGGCATTATGTGCCTCCTTTGTGCTGGGCTGACCTACTCTTGCTCGGCCCCACCACACTGTGTATGGAATATTGTGGGTTCTCTCAGGTGTCTCTCCAGTCAGCTGCTTGAGAGCAGGGACAGTGCCTGGTTTATCTTTGCCTTCCCAGGGCAGTCAGAGCGCCTGACACTTCTTACTTAGGTTGAGGTGTGGCATCTCTCCTTTATCAGACACCAGGCAGACACTGAAGTTCTTTATATACTTATCCAAGGCAGGAGAGCTGATGCCCTAATTAACAACAATGGCACTGTAGTAACGAGCCCCAGGCTTTAAAATCAGACTTCGGTGCCTACTAATGTAAGTACCCACATTCTTCCTTTTTCCTCTCCTAGCTCACTTCTGGCTGGCCCTCTCTTCAAAAACAGTCCAAATCAGAAAAGTTAAATTGGGTCACTGTTTTTAAACAAATCATTTTCATGTACAAATTTCAAGTACCAGTGGACACTTAAAATTGCTATTTTATGGATTCATAATGAGGTACAATAAAAATAATGTCTCAGGCAAACTCTACCATAGGGGAAAAAAAGTAAGATAATTCAAGTAAAGAGAACGGGAACAAAGAAAAAAAAGCAAATCCATTGGTGTCAAGTTGATTCTGACTGATATGGACCCTACAGGGCAGAGTAGAACTGCCCCACAGGGTTGCTAAAGCTGCTAATCTTTATGAAAGCAGACAGCCACTTTTTTCTCCCATGGAGAGGCTGGTGTGTTTGAACCACTGACCTTTCAGTGAGAAGCTGAGCACTTAACCACTACACCACCAGGGCTCCTTCAAATGAGAACAAGGGTACATTAAACATAATTCTGATGAGCACACACCATGGTGAGTCAGTATCATTCTTCTTTATTCTTCTCATTGAACTTGTAACTAGGACCAAAACAGGATGTCAAAGCTGCCAGAGACTTTATCCTGAAGCTTTATCAAGATCAGAATCCTGACAAGGAGAAAGTCATCTATTCCCACTTCACATGTGCCACAGATACAGAGAATATCCGCTTTGTGTTTGCTGCCGTTAAAGACACAATTCTACAAATCAATCTGAGGGAATTCAACCTAGTTTAAAACCCGCTGCCCACTCCTCCTCCATAACTGAAGAAACGATTTAGCAGCTCCTCCTGTTTTATTTGCAAAAGCTCTGACATCACCTGACCCAGCCCACTGTGCCAGGTGGCACGTATGTCATGAAGAACACAGGACAGAGATGAGTGATGCAACTTGGAAGAGATTGGAGTTTACCAAAGCCTTTTTAAAGCCTTTATTCTCAAATTGTTTTTCTAGTTCTTTTCCTGACTTTTGGCTGCAAACTTCTGTGTAATTTTTGAATTTGGTATTTTATAGGATTTTGAGAAGTGACTGTGATTTATTGTGTATTTTTTATTATTATTTTAAGTATGTTTAATAATAACCATTAAAAATCATGTAACAGCTTTTACTCAAAGGGGCCTGTTAATTTATAGATCATGCATGCCTTAAGATCTCTAAGGGATTAATTTGAGTGACTTTTTTTTATTTTAAAGAATGTTAATGGGTTTGAAGCTTTTTATTAAATTTTGCAATTTAGAGACATTCTGAATTGAGGTTTTTTTCTCTTATTACGCTGAAGTATGACTTCTTTAACATGCTACCAAAGATTTTTTAAAACACTTGGTTCCTTTTGTGTTAACTTTCTAAGTCAAATTAATGAATAAGTCAGTACATTTAACTTAATTTTGACACAATTTTATCATCATGAAGCCAAGACTGACATATGGAAGATGGGTTCTAGATTGCATATTATATTTATATTGGTGAAAATGAGTGTGTATGTATGTGTGTGTGTACATATATGTATGCATGTATATACATACATATATATTCCGTGGATATGACCAGGTCTTGTAAACTTATGAAATGGCTCAAAGTCCAAATTGTTTAATGAACATTATGTGCCCCTGCCAGCACTCTAATGGCACTCACAGATTTGTTATGTTTGAACTATGTAAACTGCTTTTCTGAGATTAAGAATATACAATTACATTAGCATTGAATTATGTTGTGTTTCTTTGGGCTCACGGTTGATTGATAGTTCTTCTCCTAAGGTCATATGCTGTCACCAAAAGAGTCAATAAATAAGACACTTGCCTAAATTTTCTCTTTTTGAGACATGATCTCTTAATAGCTGGTTCTGTAAAGCACAGACAGAATCTCCTGGAAGTAGGGAGTGCTTCAAACTAAAGGCCCTAGAGTTCTGTTGCTGCTTTCTGTTTGCAGGTGTGCATGCACATACATATACATACTCATCTGTGTGTGTGTATACACATGCACTTAAGAGATTTATCTCAAATTACTCTACAACATGTTATGGAACAACATGACATCATTCTAACAGTTGCAGTGTGCCTTTATATCAGCCAGTTAGTGGACTGTCAGATTCTCATTCAGTTGGTATAATTCCAAGTGTGAAACTATTAAAGAACAGACGAGCATCAATGATGGAAAAGACAGGAATTATGCTTATATCTAATGAGTCTCCCATAGTGACATTAAGCTTTAAAAAGTAATCCTCACTCAAGAGATGAATGCAAGAGCAAAAGTTTTCATGGAACTTGACACACTGAAGCTAACAATTACGTAGCATAGTAAAGGTCCAGGAATAGCCAAGATTTTTGCACAGGAGAACAAAGAGATGGGGGACATGCTCTTCAGAATATCTAGAAACGTAGCAAACAGTGACAACAATAAGAAACACTCTTCCTGCCCCAATAGGCTAAAGGTTTTGAACTGGTTCTGGTTAGACAATTAACACATGAAAAAGGGCTCGGCTGACTCAATAATCAGATATTGAAAAATGTGGAATTTTGCTTTTTATTCCAAGTACTTTCTAATATTGCACTACCGTTATTTTATTTTTTTTAGACTTTTTTTTTTAAATTGTGATTTGGGTGAAAATTTACAGAGCAAATTCACTTTCCATACAGTTCACACACACACTGTCTCATGACATTGACTATAATTTACCCCAATGCAACAGCTCCCCTTCTACTTCCTCCCCATAGTTACCTCTTCCCTGTGTCTATCCCTCCGTGCGTTCCTGCCCCGAGCTGTCTCCCTATGCATAAGCAGCCCTTTTTTCTCTCATCATTGTTCTCTCCAAGAAGTCTATCTACCTCAGGTAAATGTTCAACTCATATGCCTGTCTTTTGTTTGGCTGGAAGCCACAGGTGTGGGTTCAATTCCAGCCCTGAAGGGCAGCTAGGGGCCATAATCTCAGTGGTTCCACCAGGCTCCACCAGACCAACAAACCTGGTCCCCCCCCCCTTTTTTTTCCAAATGATTTTTTGTTCCACATTGTTCTCCCTCTTTATCCAGGATCTGCTACATAGATCCCATTCTGAGTGGTTGACAGTGGTAGCCGGGCACCATCTAGTTCTTCTGGTCTCATAGTTGTATAGGCTGAAGATCGCATGGTGTACCAGTTGCTAGGTTATTTTTAATTTTATCTCAGGCTGACAAAGCATACAAGAAAATGATGGTTTTTAAACATTTCTAGTTATAGGCAGGCTATCAAATAAATCATTAACAAAGGTGGTAATATTCCCATGACACGTGGAAAGGCTGAACTCTCCATTATCCAAACTAACAAACAAACAAAACCCCCTGCCATCAAGTCGATTCTGACTCATAATGACCCTTTTTAGGACATAGTAGAACTGCCCATAGCATTGCCAAGGCTATAAACCTTTACAGAAACAGACTGCCTCATCTTTCTCCTGTGCAGTGTCTGGCAGGTTGGAACTGCTGAGTGCTTTGACCACCATGCCACCAGAGCTCCTTCTCCACTATGAAAGGTGGATTAATTACCCTGCCACTACTGATCCTGCAAGTAGAAGGCTCTCCCTGAGTCCCTCTTTCAAAATACACCCCTTCCATCCTCAGAAAGAGGGTTTCATTTGCAGTTTCTAAGGTTGACAGGCACACTCTTGGTTCTTAAGAATTTAGTAAGTATTACCACTTAAGGTTTTAGTCAGCACTGATAATGCTTGGCTGGCATGCTGTCAGCTTTGACTGAAGCTCAAGACACTGGCCAATCTATTAGATATCCCCACGTACTAAGGCCACCAAGGGGTATTTTAGATAGGCGAGGGAAGGCTATCGGTAATCCTCCTAGTTCTTTCCAATAACTAAAGAAGAGACAGGTTGAAGATCAGAAATCTTTATTTGACTCAATTCATTTGGAAAAGATATACATGATTAGACTGGGAAGTCATCTTACCATGCAATCCAAATCTACCTATACCTAGAAATTATCAATATTTAGAGAAAAGTCATTATCAGCAAGCGAGGCCAATGAATTTTCAGAAGGAAAAAAGACAAGAACGTCACTGCAAACATTATGTTTATAAATTATTTTATCAAATACAGAAAAGAGAGGCAGATACTGTGTTTGTGTTAACAGGCAACTCAGCCAGGAGCCCACGTAAGAGGTGTAGGAAATCTAAAAGTGATGCAGAAAGTGATACTTAAAAAACTAATTACCCCCACCAGTGACTGTATTTCACCAAAGAATAAGCATTCCAAAGAAGCACAGACTATCTGATCACTACAAAAATTAAGAGAAGGATTTTTAAAGTGCACATTCCCTGAAAAATTCATTTTTATATGTAATACACAGTAACATACACAGAAGTTCCTTTTTAAAAGTCTTTTAACAATCTAGCTGACCTTGCAACAAGTTCCAGATACAGTTTCTAACAGTTTGAATGTGGCTATAAAGCAGCTAACATTAAGAACATTTCAGTGCAATCCAGGCTTCATTTTTACATCAATGTTTTTCAGCCCAAGAACTGGCAATTTTTGGGTAATCAAAGCAACACTGACAGTATAATGGCTTAACAAAGAAATGTTGGGGTTTTCCAACATGTTATATTTTAAGTACACTTCTGACTGTTACCCTTTTTTATTATACTTCACAGGGATTCTTGTTAACAAAGACTTCATTAATGAAGGGACACATTATCAAGTTATCAGAGCAATAATAAATTAATGGCAATGGACACAGGAATTTTCAGGTTAACAGTTTGATGTGTATCATTGTATGTGATAAACGATAAATACTTGGTATTTGTATAAATTAATAAAAACTTATACATTCACATCAACGTATATAAAATGAAGTTACATTTCTTGGGTAGCCCTTTGGGTAACTAAATTTTTTTCTGAAAATATCAGAATGGTGTATTAAAAAGAACTAATCCATAATCCTGAAAAAATTTTCTTTTAATGAGACATGAAACTATTTATTTTACAAAAGAGGAATAAATTGAAAAAGGTTTCAACTAAAGAAACATGAATGAGGTTTGTAATGGCGTAGGAAGGATCCAGTATCTGTCTTCTCAGTGAATGTGCTGGCCTGCTCTTAGCACAAGCCTAAAGCAAACAGTACTTTAGACTAATTATGGAAGAAAGAAAAAAGGCCTGAGAAAAAGTTTGTACTAATAGCTGTATTAGTTAAGGAACGAAAATAGATTATGAGAATCATAAAACTTTAAGTGATTAATGCTAACCCAATTAGCATTAGCAGTAAGGCGCTTAGAAGTATACGTCAAAGGATTAGGCAGGAGAGTTTTAGTCTGTAAAGGAGCATATGTGATTCTGAATAGCACCACAAAAACCAGATTTGCTGAATTCTGTATGGAATCCTGCATAAGGAATGCAGATTATCTAAATTTTCTGCATGGATGTTAAAGAAATGAAGAGATCCAATTATTTCCAGATAAATTGTATTGACATTTGTATAGCACCCCCCAGAGAATGAGTTTTTGGCCCTATAAGACAGTGCCCTACATAGAGTCCCCATTTTTAAGGTCTCTGGCACCTGTATGGTAGGTAAATCAGCCAAAAGGAAGATACAGCAAATTCAACGTACTCAAAAGCAGAACACCTGCCCCGAACTAGTCAAACTGTTAGTGGGAAAGGAGCTGAAATAAATCTAGTTACATGAAATTCTGTGGCCTTTCTGGGGAAATGTTTTTGAACCTTATTTTTCTGTGTTTTTCTGGTCCTACTGAATGAGGCTATCTGTA